GGGGAAATATTACCTGTGCAGAAGGTGTCTATAGGCCTTAAGTTATATGGGAAAGATTGGCACAGCACCAAGTGATCTGCAGCTGGGCTAGTACAGAGATTGAGAATAGTTTTGTGGCATGTGACCAGGCTCTGATCGACTGAAACAGTTGTGCAGAAGTGGCCCCGAATGTAAAAAGAGCAGAGGAAACAGGAAGCTCTGTGTCATAGCCCAGGGCACTGCCCAGCCCTCTGGTAGAGCCCTGTGCGTACCAAGCCAGCACTAAGCTTAGATAAAAGAATTAAAGTAGGACGCAATGTAAATATCAATGTAAATATTACCGCAAGTAACTTGTTATATCTGTTTTTGCAGCCAAGTGTTGCTCAGAAGCCGTATTTTGAGAGAGAATGGGAAATACATCCCCAAGCAGGTAAGAATGTTATCCTGGGCTTTCCGAGACTCTGGAGCATCCTAATGAAAATAGTTTTGTCCTTCATACTGGATTTGTGCTGGGTGCTTCCGACTCTCAGGTTAAGAGCTGATGTGAGCTACGCTTTCTGTGCTTGGCTTCAACTGAACTGGTCGTGAGAAATGCCGTGAGCTCCACTGTGTCAGGAATCGGTTGGTTATCCTCAGCTGTGTGGATCAATGATCAGAGCACTGAGAAGGTTTCAGCAGAGATGGTGCTCCTCTCTGGAATCAAGACGGTGTGGGTCTCTGGACTGGGTCTCCAGATGTGGCGGAGCTACCCGCTGTCTGGGGAGCGAGGCTGCCCTCGTCTCGCGACGCGCACGCCTCGTGTTCTGCGTGACGGGGTGCCGGCGGAGCTCTAGGCGTGATGCTCTCCAAACGCTTTTCTCTTCAGTCCTTTGCGATGCGGAAGCACTACTTCAACGATCCCGAGACGGGGTTCTTCAAGAAAACCAAGAGGAAGGTTGTTCCTAAAAACCCCATGACAGGTGAGAAAGAGGAACCGTCCCGTTTCGTTCGTGGTGGTGGGGGGTTGAGGTGCTTTCATTCTCAAAATACTAGAGAATTGAAGCAAACCGGGGAACCTCACACTCTGCACGCCCCCTGTCCTGAGCGCTATTTACAGGAGTTCGAACTTGGCATCGTACAGTGGGAAGAGTTATGGGGATTTGCTGCTGTTTAGTTTTGGGGTGTTGGGGTTACCTCTCACCTGGTGTGTCAGCTCCAGCCTCTGACTGGTCTTTTGCAGATACCAGCATGCTGACGGACATGATGAAGGGCAACGTGACCAACGTCCTCCCCATGATCGTGATTGGCGGCTGGATCAACTGGGCTTTCTCCGGGTTCGTCACCAGTAAGT